TATATCATTTGTCCAACGGCACTCCCAAGATAGGCAAGAGAGTAGCTTACTTCCATTTGTGACACACAACGTAAGAAAACGTGCCAAAGAAAAAAATTTTTGAAGATGAATAAATCAAGAAAATATTTATGGATGAGCTATGTAATTAGAGTTTTGTATATATATATATATATATATATATATATATATATATATATATATATATATATATATATATATATATATATATATATATATATATATATATATATATATATATATATATATATATATATATATATATATATATATTATAATATTCATATTATTGAGCAATTACATAAATACTGGTTTTGTTCACAAAGTTCAGATGTAGAAATAGATATTCTTACTTGCTAATCTGAAAGTTATTTATCGCCTGAAAATACGTTTTTTTCTAAAAAGGAAAATCGATATTCTTCAACATCTTGAAGAAATAATATTACGTTTGCTAGAAGAGTATATATTTAACTGGTTGTTGATTTTTTGCAAGGTTTTGCATGCTTCTTGATTTTCTAACCATGGTGCTATAGATAACTCTGTCATTAAAATTTTATAGAAATTTGTAGATTATGATGCATATACTAACTTGACTTTAAAGAACAATATTGATAATGTTATTAATAATTTTAGCAGAGAAATTGTTCATTTATGTTAAACATAAGGTTTAAGCAATATTAATGGTAGAAGTATGCCTTAACCAAATTGAAGAGTTATTTTAAATATGTAAAAAATGAAGCAATGCTTTTTGAATCAGAATATAATTGTTATGTTTGCTTGTAAAAAAAAAAAGTGACCATCAGCAAGAATAATCTACCTTATTTTTTCTTAATGTAAGGAAAAATACAAGATATAATTAAAAGTACAACAAATGGTACAATCAATAATTTTACAAGTTTTTAAATTTCATATGAAGAGAATGATGTATTCTGATTTATAAAGGGAGAATGCAAGTTATCTCTCTGGTCAGAGGGACATTTAGACCTTATTCGTCACCTTGACATGCTTTTAAATGTGACACCTAAAATAAAAGAATCGATAGACACGTAGTAACAGTTTCTTTAAAGGTACTCGAAAATAGCATAGCAAACCAATAATTTAGCTTCCGTGTTGAAGAAACACAGCGACCGACGGATTCATGGATTACACCATTGTAAAAGTGAGTTATTTTCTTCTACTATTATCTTCTCACCTAAGGCCTAAACCAAGATGATCCTTGATCATTTACCTGCCAATTCAGTGGCATAGCTTGTTGAAAAAATGTGAAAATTGTGACAAAAATTACTTAGATTTTATGTCATTTAGTCATTCAGACTGTACGTATACTCGTTTATCGCAACTAACCTTTTACTGATAAGCATAAACTATACCCTCATACTTCCTCAAATATCAAATCAATACAGTCGATATCAGGGACATGTGTCTTCTTTAGTGAGTTATCACGTTAAAAAAAGCACATAGAGGTTTTAATTAGTTATTGTTTTTATAAGTTATGGTTTTTATAACGTATACTGGTTGATGATGAATTAAGTTATTGCAAAACAATTACAATGGGTATATGGGTGATATATTCAGGGAATTTCACCAACAAAACCAGAATGTCTTGATCCATTCCCGAGATATATACATTTTTTGCACAGTTAAGCTGTTGGTATTTAAATTTCGAGTTTGCCAAGTATGGAGAATGTGCATAAAGAGATGTTTGCTCCTAAATTAAATTATAAATAAGATTTGACTACAGAAATCATTTCATTCCTTAACACCGAACGAATTGCAGACTTTTAGGAAAACTAAAATAATTTCAAATTTGAATCTTTTTTTTTTTTAAAAAAAAAAAGAAAAAAAAAAAAAAAAAAAAGAAAAAGAAAAAAGAAAACATTTTACTTAAATACTCTAAAACACAAATAATGATCAGAACCATCTTTTTCCCTTATTTTAAAAAATATGAAGAACAGGAGGCAGTGAAACACCTCTTAAACCACAATATACAGACATTTTTGTTGTATATGAAAACATTCCATGCTTTACGCAGGTATGTTAAGGCAGTATAGAGATCAAAATTCGCCGAATCTACATTTTATTTTGTTAGATGTATCATTCATAAATCATAAAAGTCATGGAAAAAACATTTACTGTTAATTATCATCAATAGACGTCAATTAGTCTGAAGCTAAACGAAGCACTCCACTACGTCATCACGTTATGTCTATAAATAGAAATATGCCTTAATGAAAAAGTGAAAAGTTCAATAGTACCCCTGGGATAATTAGTTTCTGTTTGTAAAAATAATTATGCAAAAACATCTCTGGGCCATGAAAAGTGCTGCTAGAATCCTAGACCCCATCACAAAAAATATTTCATATTTTCACATGAAACTGCAAAAATTAAGTAATATAATCAAAATAGACTTTATTTTTTCATAGTTATGTCTCTAAATGGCGTTTAAACAGAATAAAAATATAAATTATGGTCACATCATTTCATATGTTGAATTGTGTTGTAATATATTGTTTTGCTGAACAGAAATCAAATGCAAAAGACAAGTAGTGCTACTTCAAAAGGTATTAAAAACAAAGATGATGTTTTAGAACGTCACGGAGCAGCGACTACTAACGATACAATTTTTTGTCTTGCACTGGGAAAATTTCTATAAAGAAGCCAGAAAAAGCGGGAGGAACAGCAAAAATATATCAAAAGTTAGCATAGCATGTGGATTTAAATGTCACATGAATGTTTTAGGTTTTAGACAATGTTTTGTGATCGGAAAATTATTATTCAAGGCCGTCATTCTTTGCAAAATATATGCAGACATATTTGCATAAATTAATATTTTATTATAAATAAATAATACCAGATATTACACAATGTTGAATTTGTAAAGAATAAAGGTTTGATGACAAATCACACTGTATTTTGAAGGTGAGTTTCTTCGTTTTCGCCGCATATCCCGTCCCATTGTCAGTTATTTTACCATGATAACAGATTTTACGGATTTTCTATTGATGGTATTTCAAACATAAAATGTTGGGTTTCTAACCTCGAATCGATAAAATCAATGATTTGCTCGATTATAACGCAGAAAATCTAGATGAAATCGTGTTTATTTTAGTAAGAATAACGTAAACAGCTGATCAGCCATTGTCGCCTATGACGTATCACGGTCACATGATAGCTTTCTAATTTACTCGGATTTTTAATTCAGAGACTATATTTGAGTCAAATAATGTTTAACTAACACTGTGTATCCGCACTAAAACACAAATTTTATAAACTATGATCGTAAGGAACGTAATACGCTTTTAACATGCGATAAGTCCTTTAAGGTTTTATAATCACTAAGGTTTATTAGATGAACTTGCTTGAGTTCTCGAATCTTGTCAAACAAAAACTGAATATTTCAGATAATAATAATAATATGAGCTATGAATCATCAACCTTCGTCAGTTGATGCGTCGTGGGTTTCTCAGGGCGTTTATTTAAAAAGTAGATCAAGGTGACATATTTTTGAATTTCAAGGCTTTATCTAAATATTAAGATACCAAGAAGCTTGTAGGATATAACTAAAAGGGATGTACATTTTTCAGAATAGGAATTCTATGTCCTTGGGCCTCTTGTTTTTTTTTTTCTATAGATCTTTTATTGTTTTCAAGTTAAGTTTGCTGGTATTTTGCACCTATTTTATTTTAATATTTTATTACCTTAAATGTCCAATGTAACGTTGATTACGACTTATTAGTTATTTATGTATGTATTAGCTGCAAAACTGTAGCTATCTGGTTGAGAAAATTCGGACAGACAAACAGAGAGCTTACAGATCAAAGCATTGTAAAAAAAAAAACTTTTTGGTCTTACGGCGCCTGTTTCGTCATTCACTTCCATTATTATTTCTTGTATTATATGTGTTCCCCTATTAAAACATCTTATCCGTTAATTAACCTTATATTTAACTGCTCTTCCTGATAGTTTATTTACCTACCAACGTTAAAAAGAGCTCTATGTGAAATGTCGGATTCAAAAAATTCTACGTCTAAGTTACTGTCATGTTTATTTACGTCTGTCAAAGAAAATCTTTTTTTTTTAAATGGAGGGGTGGGGGTTGTTTAACATAATCTAAATCGGTTATAAAAGAAATAAGATACTAGTATATTAGATGAAATATGAAGAAAACGAACGATAATCAATCTCAAAAGTCAATTGGAACAATGCAAATTTGGAGCAGAGCAAACACGGACCTCTTTATAAAAATGGCATAACAATTAGTATGAATATATAGATGGTATTTGCTAACAGGTCATTGTATCGGCCAAAGAACCATTAACCTCAGGCATGCCATGTTAGCAGGACTCCTATATGGGTGTCGGAATGCTAATTTTTAGAACGGACATTCAAAGGCTCTATAGGGCTGTTAAACCGTTGAAAGGTAAATAAGGTAACGAAGATTAGGAGTAAAGTATATATTGTTAATTAAAGGTTGGGAAACTAATATACAAGAAATAATACCCGAAAGGAGTGTCAAAAAAGCGGCGCTGTAACTTGAAAGTTTTAACAATCCTTGCATCTGTAGCTCTCTGCTTGTATGTCCTAAACTTCTCATCCAGAGAGCTATAAGCAGTACTGCAGGTAGTTATGTACAATAAGTGTTCAGTGATTATGAAACTTTTTTAGGTAACATTCCTCAAAGAAAGATTTTGTTCTTCATTCTTCTTTTTGAATTGAGATTGACTGTCCATTATGCTAAAATCAAAAAAAAAAAAAAAAAAAAAAAAAAAAAAAAAATTAGAATTAAATATCTAAAATTATTTCTTGAATGTATTTTTTCATAATTTACCGACATTAGGGAATGAATAAAGTTTAGAGTTGGAAGATTAGCTCTCATTTCAGGATCATTTAAAAATAATTAAGATACTTTATTAATTTTTTTCCTGATTCAGCGGTCTATCTTTTTTGTCACATTTATGTTCATTTTACACATTCTTCATTAGATTCTTGTCTGGTGTTATGTCATCACCACCACAAATGAAGCTGCGTCTCTTGGACAAAACTGTAACGAAGCCACTCCGTGTGGCTATATTGGAGGATTATGTAATGCATCAAAGATCTGTGTGTGTGACACGGGAGGTGGATATGGAGAATTTAATGGAGAGTGCAAATCAAGTTAGTCTAAATGAAAATCAGAAACATCTATCTAATATTGTAAATGTTCAGTTTTCAAATTATTTAAATTATTTTTTTATTTACACAACTATAACACTATAACGTTTAAAATTGTGAAACATAATATTTTCATGGACGTTAATTTTGCTATGAAATATATGGAGAAAACGTATAGTATTTAATCCTAAAAGTCCATTCAAACATTACAAATCAGAGCATAGCAAACACGGTCCTCTTCAACACTAGAGGTGGGATCAGGTGCCATGGAAGAGTGAACATCCCCTTCCGACCGGTCATGCCCGTTGTGTGCACCTTGTCATGATCGGGAATTAACAGAAAATCCGTCGACAATTCAATGTGTAAATAATGGCCTATGATGGCATATGAATGGAAATAACTATTGCTAATTGATAATACGTAGTCGATACATCTAAATGTCGAAGGCCACAGCAAGATTTTTCTTTTTCTCATGCATAGGATTTTGAATAAATTCTGCATTATATGAATACAAAAATAGGTCTGCTAATAATGGGGTACAATTGGTACCCATAGAAATTCCAACAGATTGTTGCAAGTCCTGATATCCAAAAACCACATAGATATTGTCAATAAAAAACTCCAGCATCTTTTTAATATCAACTTCTGAGTACTTTTGTTTATAATCAGAATGTTTCTGAACAAAATAATTTTGCAAATGGCCAATGATGAGTGAAATATGAAGATAACGAACAGTATTCAATCTCGAAAGTCCAATGAAACAGTACAAATTTGGAGCAGAGCAAACACGGACCTCAACATATAGAGGTGGGATCAGGTGCCATGGAGGAGTGAGCATCCCCTTCCGACCTGTCACACCCGCCGTGTGCTCCTTGTTATGATCGGGGGGGGGGGGGGGCGGAAAAATCCATAGACATTTCAGTGTAAAAATAATGGCCTAACAATTAGTATGAAAACATCAGTCAGCATTTGACTCAAGGTAAGTAAATTTACGAGTTCCATTTTTATTGAAAATACAGATGTCATTGATGTCAAAAAGCCTGGATTTTAATTTAACGTGGGAAATGGTTGTGTATAAAGTTGTAAAGTTGTAAGTTTTAATGTTATTGTTTTTGGTAAAAGTTTGTGATTTCAAATTTTTTAAAAGTTCCTTGGAATTTTTAATATAGATATCCACATTTGATTTATACTACTTCTCGAATATATTGTTGCACTCCTTTACTGCTGTTAATATTTTAGTGAGGAGTAAAGAAAGAGGCTTGGTAGAACATTTACTGGAACCCGCTATGTATCTTTGTTATTAAAGATTTGAATGAAGTTTTGGAATCCAATAAAAATATGGTCTTTCAGATTCATTCTGGTTGTTGGGAATATTAAAAGTATTCAAAACTGACATATGATTTTGAAGAACTTCCTTCTCAGAAAGGTAGCTATGGGTATAAGTTGGATTACCACTTATAGAATTAAATCCCAGTTCCTCTAAAATACAATTAAAATAATGAGTCTTACAAATGAAGACAATTTTGTTACCTGCTTTGTCAGCTGGGACCAGTACATATTGATCGTGTAGACTATCTAATTCTTTTTTCACTTCTGAATTATTGAACACAGAAGGATAGATGATTTTCATATTGTCCCTTAATTGCTTAATGCGAGATTTTAACATACATCAGATTCATTTAATCCATTCTGACAAAGTGTCAAAGTCTTGTATTTCATATATGGTCCATCGCCTGGCGTAATATTCCACAGAATTCATAATATTTATGAAATTATGAATCCAATTGAAAGATCGGGGTTCCCTTAATTTTGGCCCTTTTAAAATGATATAAGGTCCTCATTATAAACTATATTTACGTCACCAGTATTTGTGTGTTCAGCAGGAATATAGTTGTAGGGCGAAGAAGAACGATTTCAGTATGGAGGATTATGTTTCAGATGCTCAATATTCAGGCTCTGTAATTTTTTTTTTTTTTGCAATTAAAAAGTTTGGAAGCAACAGTCGATGTATATTTACAGGAAAGACAGAGTGTAGTCTTCAGTTTGAAATATGGTGGAATACAAGACTGGATCCTTTTGTGATTAAGAATACTACTTATATTATTTCATGTATATTATTTTTAAATACCTTATATATTCCTTTAATTCCTTATATTATTCAATTTCTTTGTTGGCATATTGAAGTTCAAGGAAAAAAACGGGTTGGTTTAGCTCAGTTTACTTCCGTAAAACTTTGCGGTTTAAAAAGCCTATGATTTGCAACATCCATAACAACATATCCGAGCTTGTATTCTGGTGTCGAAGAATCCAAATATGGACTTTCCTTGACCTTTTCAAATAGACTATTTAACAGTTTCAAAGGAACAGAGTAAGTTTGGTGCGAATGTGATGAAGACCTAACTGTTGATTTACATAAGGTAGTAAAGAATCAAAGGAGGCATCGTGTATATGAAGGGTTTATTGTAAGACCCATGCCCATGACTACGCTTACATCTCTGCATATGGTTGAAAAGTCCCATCACATTAACATTGCTACCCTGTGGACTGGAAAGATTCCCAACACTATCGACATTGTCATTACATCCATATGGAAAGGCCTTGCCTAGTTTTCTAATCCAATATTCTTCTCGTAGTCAACGGAAAAGTGTATTCAATGATGGACTATCTGTTTGATGATAAATCTTTTCTAGAATTCAAACGTTCATTGATAAAATAGAATGATCAGAGAAATTACGTAATCTAAGTTTTTTGGTTTAAAAAATTTTAAGGAAAAAATACCATACCCAGTATTTCAGTTATTATCATTTCGAGTATTATACGAAATGACACAGCAGTGGTCTCTTATATTGATTATATTCACACTTTTACTAGAGATGCCGAAAGTTCTGATATTGTTACTACTGATACAAACATGTTGGGAAACATTAACTAGTCAGTTTTTTACCGTTTCTTCAACAATAGAAATTGAGACACTAAAAAATTATTTAAGTTCCAGGATTCACCGTTCACGGTAGCTCAATCGGTAGAGCGCTTGCTCCGTGATTGGAAGGTCGTGAGTTCGAATCTCGGCCGCGACTGACCTAAGTCGATAAAAAAAAAATAGGTAGCAACTGTTCCTTCGCCCTGCGCTCGGCACTTTGAAGCGAAAGTTGCGGGTCCTTCAGATGGGACCTTAAAACTGAGGCCTCGTGTCACGGCAGGCGTTGGCACGATAAAGATCCCTCACTGCTCAATGGCCCTGGGTGCCGAGTAAAGGTCAAAATTTGAAGCCCTTCACCGGTACATGGTGAAGTCTCTATATGAGTGAAAAATTCTCGAATGGGACGTAAACAACATACAATCGATCAAGTTCCATAATTTTGATATTCCTGATTATGTGTAAAATTGAAAGATTAAATTGTTCTCCACCATGAATATTTGGAAAAATGCTGATCAAACTTTTTTCTATAACTTATGATATTAACTTATAACTTATGAAAGACAATAAAATGTTATGACTCAACTTTTCCATCATCAACTTCCTTTACTTAATCGCAATATACCATTATCACCTGCATATGGGGTTTATATTTCCCATTTGATTCGATACGCAATATCATGCTCCACGTACGAACAATCTCTAAAACGAAGCACCCGATTGACAATGAAATTGATGAAACAATGATATCAATAGTGTCGTTAAAGTTAAAGTCATCATTATGCAAGTTCTGTGGTCGGTACAATGACCTTGTCAGCAAATATATTATTAAGTCCAAAGCTGACTGACGTTTTCTCATACTAATTGTTAGGTCATTGTTTAAACAGATTTTTTTCATTTGCCCGATCATGACAATGAGCACACTGTGGATGTGACCGGTGGACATGGAATGCTTACTCATCCATGGCACCTGAACCCACCTCTGATGATTTTGGACGTTCGTGTTTGCTCTGCCCCAAATTTGTATTGATCCAATGGACTTTTGAGATTGATTACTTTTCGTTATCTCCATATTTCATTCTAAAACTTAAAATCCCAATTCTATTGCTAAAATTAAACATTGTATATAGATCCAGTTTTATGTCAATTTGATTTTTCAATATTGAGGCACAATAACAGTTATGTATTGATATTAAAAAAATAAGTGTAAATGTGACTGGGGTCATATGGCAGATGGCGGAATTTTTATATAATTCATGTATTTATGTTCACAGATTCCATCACAGTGTCATTATCAGGACCAGGCAGCGGTGTTTTATATGGATCATCTACAAGTCTCACGGTAACAATTACAACAGCTGTAGCTGCAACTTCAGTAGCTTGGCAGAAGGTGGCGTCTGGTGGAAGTCTTACAAGCATAACTGTAGACTCTACAAAGTACACACAGACAGGTGACCCCGGGTCTGGTACAGTCATACTTACCATCAACAACATTAACTACAGTGATGAAGCCAGTTATCAGGTTCAGGTTACCAACGGCCTGGGGATAACCAATACCAGTAAACAGGTGGAAGTTGACGTGACTGGAGGTGACACATTTTCAAAATCAGATCCTTTATTCATGTTTATTTAATTGAATAATTTAAAATAATGTATTAAATAATAAAAAATATATTATTATCAGTAATATATTGGATAAGTCTGATGTTGGGAATTCATTTCTTTTCTAAGGAAAAGGAAAAGTGGACTTTTACTAGGTTACATGCTGAAATTTTCGAAAGTTTTTGTTAGATATTGATTGAATTTTGTTTTCATTTTATTTTCTTGAGAATGGGGTAGATTTCGATTGAACTGTTAAAGTTAACTAAATTGCAGTCTCAGAAAAAACTGCCAAATATACATTATTGCAAAGTTAAAGTTATGACTAGTAAGACTTACAGGATAAGAAAAAATATTGTCTTGAAATATTATAAAATTCTTCTGCACAAAGAACAGGGGAATAAAGTCAAATATTTTTCGTATACCATACTAGATTTGGTCATTCGTATAACTGTTAACCAACTTTCTTTTTGTTACATTAATCATGCACATATACATACAATATGAAATAGAAACACCATAGCTGTTTATTTATGACTATTCCTACTTCAACATTCTACCCTTTTTATTTCATAAACATCCCTGAAGATCATTGGTTATTACATGTACATACACACCCGTCTTGTTAAATTTTAAATAGCATTAATCTTGTACTGCATGAGATATATATTTCAATTAAATTGATGTTTAAGGTTGTTCTGAAATGCTATATATAAATAGTTGCTATTTACACTATACAGATCCACCGAGTGTCAGTGTATCAGGACCTACCCAGTCTGGTGACACTGTAACCAATGGGTGTACTGCTACTGTCACAGCTGATTCTCCAGCTATCACAGCTATAAAGTGGACAAAAGATGGAACTGAGATAGATATAGCTAACTCTGGTGGTAAATACTCTGGGGGAACTGTAAATAATCCAGCGTTGATCATCAATACCATAGGCAGCAGTGACAGGGGAGTTTACCGTTGTGTGGCCACTAATGCAGCAGGATTCACTACAAGTTACAATAATGTGAATCTGAGTAAGAAATACACAACACTGTACTTAATAAACTGCTTACTGAGTTAAAGTTTTTATCACGACTCAAAATTTATTTATATATCAAAGTTTACAAGGTAGTAAAATAAGCCATTTAAATTTCTTTGCTATAAAATCAATATTTTTAATGTTTCAGCAATACAAAGTTTTAGTTCCTGAATATGCATATTTTGGATGTAAAAATGTACACAAATAAGGACGCTAAGGCTCTATTTTATAGATGTTTTATCACATAATTATGACTGTTTTCAAACTTATTAAATGGCACAACGATAAAAATATGTACCAAGACTATAACTGTATATTTTTTAAGAGATTTGGGAGTTTGATTAAAAAACCCTTTAAGATCAAACAGAGATAGATTTAGATGCATACATGTTCACCCAGTTCCAGATGTAAAAGGTTCACTGACGTATACATGTACCTGTCTGTATCTAAAATGGATAGAAAACCCACAACACCAGTCAAAATGTTTAAATCCCTGATGACCTTTACTTTCTTGCTTCTTTCAGGTGATATTGTTTGATTAATAGGAATAGGGATTTTTTTTGCAAACTTAAATGAAATAAGGACACTGAGCTGTATCATTTTCTAAGCTTTATATTCATGATAGATAAAAAAAAAAAAAAACCAGTAAACTAATAATTTTCTTTTAAAATGCTCTAGTTTAATAGTAAAAGTATTCCAGTGATTGTGAAGGTCATAAAATTCATAGAAAATATCTCTCTCATCATATTATTATATTATTGTTAAGAAACTTAAGATCAACACCTTATGCTGTGTAAATACATCTCTTTTATTGATGTATGCAGTTTCATTTCATTTGCATATGCCCTATAGTTACAAGTCTTTCCATAAATCCGTCTGCCTAGCTGTTCGTCCGATTTCATTTATGTGGAGCATATTTTCTGTTCTCTTTCCAAAGTCAAGTTCATACTTCACCAATAGATTGCCTATGGGTAAAGAATGTGCAGTGACCTAGAACTATTTTTTAGATAAAAAGTCAAGAATGAAAAACCTCTGTGTGTAAAATTGTTGTCTCTCCACATGACTCAGTTGGGTCCATACTCCATCCAAAGAGTACCCAGGGGTGATGATGTACATTGACCTAGAACCAATTTTTCATACCAAAGTCTGTGTAGAAAACTTCTTTGTGTAAAACCTTGCTTGGAACAGTTTTTTCTCCACTTGATTCAGTATCCAGTGGAAAGATGGTATGTGTGACTTCGAACTAATTTTATAAGATGAAAAGTCAAGGTCAGAAAACCTTTTTGTGTAAAATCCAGAGCATATTATCTTTCCCCTTGTCGCTAACTGGTTCAAACTTCAATAAAGTGCCAAGTAGTAAAGGGTGTGCAGATTTATTTCTAAATTATAGCAATCAAAAATCATTTTTCAGCATTTTTGGCCTCATCTGGCTCAAATTTCACCCTAAGAGTGCCCTTGGATAAAAGGTGTTTCATTATTATGTCCTAGTCAAAAGAGTGGGGCTCCTTTAGATGGTCACCATCTCAACAAAGTTCAATCTTCATCAATTGGAACTCAATACATTTCCCTAAAATCAACGGTTTTTTTGTCACCAGGGAGACTCTTAACAACATAATGTCAAAAAATATAATATGATGACATTGTTTAAAAAATACACTAACTCTTCATTTCATACACAGTCTATGGCACCTTACCCATTTATTTTAAAAAGTTTTTAAACCACTCTATTATTTATTATCTTATTTTGTGTTTAATTCTATATTATAAATTTTTGCTTAAATATATGTCCTTTACTTCTAGTTCCTCCTGGTGTGACAATCTCAGGTCTTCATCCCTCTGTGGAGTATGGTGAAAAAGCTACACTTGTTGGAAGTTATGGCTCAGTACTTGAAGTGACTTCAATTAAATGGCAGAAAATTCAGAATGGTTCACCTAAAGACATTAATATATCAGATGGTAAATACTCGGGTAGTATTGTTACGGGAAAAAATCCACAACTTGTGATCAACTCAGCAAATTTTAATGACAGAGGATTGTATCAGATGGAGGTCAGTAATGGAGTGGGATCCAGCAGCAGTAACCCACTGATATTAAATGTAACTGGAGGTAAGACTAAATGCAGGACAAGTTTCAATTATTACTTTTAAACCATATATTTGTGGTTAATACACACATTAATTTTTATTTTGGCCGCGCATACCAATAGATAATGAAATTACATCGTTATGAAAATTATTCAAGATTGTATCTATACATATGTAATTTTCTATACATTGTACGTTTAAAATTTCGATACACATGAATATTGTCGAATGTTAATGAGTATTTTCCACAAAAATTCATTCTGCATCTTTAGATTAAGTTGGTAGAAAAACTTAATATTAACCTTTTTTTCTTAAAAGTGCATAAATGATATACTAGGTAAATCAGACGATTGATGAACACGGGCCATTATTAAGTTGAGATATCGAAAAAATGTTTTTTCTAATCATGTGAATCTTATACAGTACCAATTTTGATGCACAAGATGCGCATTTCGTCAGTGATGCTCACGACGAAACGTTAGAAATGCGAAATATTGAATTTAAAAAAAATCTTAAAAGAGCTGAAAGGGGGGGGGGGTCAAAGACTGGAGTCAAATATGTGAATACGTGTCAACTATAAATTTACTAAAATTGTCTCTTTTTTTAATATTCTTAACTCCTGGCTTATGTTTGAACTTAACATATTAACAAGCCATGTCATGGATGTATGAATAAATAAAAATAGAATCATAGCAGTGTAAAGTTTTCTTAAATAATATCAAGGAATGATCAGGTTTCATCTTTTCTCTTAAAACACCAATTTCTGTTGTTTTGTTTTCTTGGTTCAATCAGACCACAGAACTTTGATCAATGAACCACAAAATTTACTAATTATAGAATGAAACTAGAATGAACTTGTGTTGAGAACCCATGAAAAATAATGAAACCAATAAATGTAATGACAATTATCTTATTTTGGTGTAGGTTACTTCAAGGTTAATACTTTTGAAATGTGTTTGACAATTTTCAAATCAGATATTTTGATGTTTTCCTTTATAAATACTTTCAGCCAAGCCAATAATAAACATCTCCCCATCCAATCGAGCTGTCTATGGACAGTCTGCAAAAATTACAGCACATGTTGCATCAGAACCCCTAGCACCAAAATACATATGGTAGGTGTCTGTCAATGGCACCACAGAAAATCTAACATCTAATGAAAAGTACACAATAAAAGGAAACATTTCAGAAGGAAACTTTAGTGCTTTCCTATATGTTAACGAAGTGATGTTTACTGATCAGATTCCGTACAAACTGACGGTAACAAACTCTGCAGGATCTGAGGCTAGTAGTGAACTAACATTGAATGAAACTGTAGGTTTTTCTTTTTTAATGATTTTACTCACAGAGGAATAATGCCGATGAACTTTAAATTTGTAAACTTTAAATTTGTATGACACCTATTTCATATGCAGAAAACACACACACACACCCTCACACACACACACACACCCTAACACACACACACCCCCTCACACACACACACACACACACACACAGATATATATATATATATATTGCAAATTTTTTTGATATATAAACCTATTGAAGAGAAAATATTTTCAATTCTGTATGATCTTATTAGGGGGTTAGAGGTCATAGCATGTCCGAATCACTCGGCGAGATATTTTACCTACATATTTCTGTTACAGTGAAACTGGTTTCGGAATTTTCAGCTTGATAGCAATGAAAAAAATAAAGTAATAAAAAATATGGATTTTTTTTTTCAATCAACAGATGTCCGTTCGATCTTCCTTTGGTGTGATGAATGGTTTGAATATGTATTAAAATCGCGCTAACTTTTTTCACCCGTAATTCCTTTGAAGGTATGTACACTAAAACAGATGATACAGCTTTTGACTCAACATATATGAAGATATTTACATATCACATGTACTTGGTCTTTAAAGTGTGTGGAATGCTATGGCATTCAAAACAAGATAACACATATAGGGGTCAAATGGTTAAGGAATACATTTTATTTTGACGTCACAAACGTTGAACGCCGTGGAAGTGCAACGTCATAAGCGAAAACAGAATTTAAGCTCACTTTGAACAGAAGCTGTTGCAATGCTCTTCCATTAATTGTAACCTATCCGAAGGGTAATGCAGGGATTTTGAAATATAAATCTCATATACAGTCAAGACAAGAGGTTAAAGAATGTAAATATAAGCATTGAATCATTATTCTGTGAAAGATATTTAAGAAATAAGGTATCATTTTTAGCTCACCTGAGCTGAAAGCTCAAGTGAGCTTTTCTGATCACATTTTGTCCGTCGTCCGTCTGTCCGTCTGTCTGTCTGTCTGTACGTCCGTCTGTAAACTTTTCACATTTTTGACTTCTTCTCCAGAACCACTGGGCAAATTTCAACCAAACTTGCCATGAAGGATCCTTGGGTAAAGGGGATTCAAGTTTGTTCAAATGAGGGGCCACGCCCTCTTTCAAGGGGAGATAATTAGGAATTAGGAATTAGTGAAAAAATAATGGCAATTTTCAATTCCTGGGCCATGAAAGATGAAACTTATGTGGAAACATCCTCAAGTAGTGTAGATTTAAGTTTGTTCAAATCATGACCCCCGGGGGTAGGGTGGGGCAACAATGGGGGATCAATTTTTTACATAGAAATATATATAGGAAAATATGTTTTAAAATCTTCTTAAGAATAGCAAAGCCATGATTGGTCATATTTATATGGAAGCATCTTCAGGTAGTGTAGATTCAAGTTTGTTCAAAGCATGACTCCTGGGGGTAGAGTGGGGCCACAATGGGGGATCAAAGTTTTACATAGGAATATATAGGATAATATCTTTAAAAATCTTCTTCTTAAGAACAGCAAAGCCATGATTGGTCATATTTATTTGGAAGCATCTTCAGGTAGTGTAGATTCAAGTTTGTTCAAATCATAACCCCCAGGGGTAGGGTTGGGCCACAATGGGGGATCAAACTTTTACATAGGAATATATAGGAAAATATCTTTAAAAATCTTCTTCTTAAGAACACCAAAGTCATGATTGGTCATATTTATTTGGAAGCATCCTCAGGTAGTGTAGATTCATGTTTGTTCAAATCATGAGACCCAGGGGTAGGGTTGGGCTAAAATGGGGGATCAAAGTTTTACATAGAAATATATAGGAAAATATATTTAAAAATCTTCCTCTTAAGAACAGTAAAGCCATAATTGGTCATATTTATATGGAAGCATCCTCAGGTAGTGCAGATTCAAGTTTGTTCAAATCATGACCCCCGGGGGTAGGATGGGGCCACAATGGGGGGTCAAAGTTTTACCTAGAAATATAGAGGAAATATCTTTAAAATTCTTCCTCTTAAGAACAGTAAAGCCATAGGGTAGGGCCACAATGGGGGATCAAAGTTTTACAAATGAATATATGGGAAAAAAATCTGCTGCTCAAGAACAGCAAATCCATTCGTTATATTGATATGAAAGCATCATTAGGTAGTTTAAAATTCACCCCCCCCCACACCCCCCCCCATAAACTTTTCAATACTGAACTGATTTTTGCTTTTTTTCCTAGCCAATGTGCTCAGGTGAGCGATGTGGCCCATGGGCCTCTTGTTAAACATCTATCGTGATATAAATACGGATTGGTCACGAGATTAAATTCTATAAATTTTATAAAGCCCGAAGGGTTTTATGGTAAATTTGATCTCGTACCAACCCGTATTTATAGCCCGATAGATGTTTTAAAATGATACCTTATTACTTATACTTACATTCGTGACTTATTCATATTTTATATTTGCCCGATTATAATCTTTAACGCGTGAAACGTTTTATTTTTCAAACCAAACGGCACGAGTTTGATCCTCTGATTGCGCGTCGACCCTTTATGACGTCACTGAGAAATTACGTCGAACGTTTATGACGCGAGGAACCCGTGTTTATACGGATATAGATACGCGTTGCTTTTAATAGTGTTATATAAAAGAAAACATTTGCAAATGTAAATATAGTCTAATAATTGCAACAGTGTGTGCAAACATATTTACATAACACGGGAACGCTGTATGTATTGTCAAGATATTGCCTTCACTCTACCTGGAATAACACACACACAAGCACAAAGAAAAACAAACAAGCGTAAAACAATAATTTGGTTAAAATCAAGAAGGGGGTATATTTCACTTAAGATTTTTATTCAATAATTCGCTCATTTAGTATTGTACAATGTCGGTACTATGTGACAATATACATTTATTGACTGGGTTCGAGGGCAACATGCGTTTTGTCGGAACCAAGAATCAAACTGTTTGCCTGAGGCCTAACGGCCTCAGGCAAACAGTTTGATTCTTGGTTCCGACAAAACGCATGTTGCCCTCGAACCCAGTCAATAAATGTTTTGTTATACCTTTTACTTTTTATTTTGATATATCATGACGTAAATTTCGTTTACCCACACTGCGGTTATGTCGAACTCCAACGAATTGAAATAAGATATAGCTGACCCCGCCCACCCTTTGACGTAAGCAGTCCAACATCTCATCTACAGGTCCAACATCTCACTCTACTGTCAAACATCGATTTTTTTATGCCCGCTCAATGAAACATTGTAAATGGTAGACTTTTTTTAGTAAAGAATTATATAGGACACAATTTTTAAAGGTATATCAAACTAGTTTACTATTTGTGTTAAATTTTAAAACCAAAAGTCATCTGCTGTAAACAACTTCCGGTAAAGAAATATCGTTCTTTACATCAAACCCTAGCGGAAGTTGAAAGGTAAACAATTGGGAAAAAAGTGTTTTATCTGAATCATATGAAAATATGTTTTAAAATTTTCTTAAGAATAGCGGAACCATTATTAGTAATATTTATATGCAAGCATCCCCAGGTATTGCAAATTCAAGTTTCTTCAGGTCATGACCCCCCCCCCCCCTTTGGGCAGAATGGGCCCCAATAGCAAATTAAAGTTTTACATGGACATTTTTTTTTATAGAAAATATTGTTCAAATTTCTTCTCAGATAGAGCAGGACCATGACTAGTGATATTTATAAGCAAGCATCTGAAAGTAATGCAAATTTTAGTTTATTCAAAACATGGCCCTTGGAGTATCAAAGTTTTACAATATATAAAAAGAATATTTTTAAAATCTTTCTTTCACAAACATTAGGACCACTGTAAGTGATATGAAAATGAAATGTCAGGTCATTAGATTAAAGATTTTTATCACCTTGTGAAAGAGTGGGGTCACTGTAGATTGAATGTTTGTTGTTTTACGTTCCATTCGAGAATTTTTTACTAATATAGAGACGTCACCATATACCAATGAAGGGCTTCAAATTTTGACCTTTACTCGGCACTCAGGGCCATTGAGCAGTGAGGGATCTTTATCGTGCCAACGCCTGTCGTGACACGGGGCCTCGGTTTTTAAGGTCTCATCCGAAAGACCCGCAACTTTCACTTCAAAGTGTCGAGCGCATGGCGAAGGAACAGTTGCTACCCATTTTTTATCGACTTAGGTCAGTCGCGGCCGAGATTCGAACTCACGATCTCCCGATCACGAAGCGAGCGCTCTACCGACTGAGCTACCGTGAACGATCGGTCACTATAGAGAATCATGCAAGCAAAACAAATCTTTAAAAGTTTAAAAAAAAAGTAAGATTTCTCCCCGGGGGGATAAGGTGGCTAATGTTCTGAAGAAAAACAGGGCCAAAGTTACATAGGGAGTTGGTGGCCCATGGACCTCTTGCTTTTATTCAAATGCATTGGTATTAGCAAAAGCATGGGGAGAAAACCTGTTTTATTATAAATGTAAAAATCTAAAAGAGAGCTACTTTTCTCATTCAAACCAGTAGAGTTACAGTTTTATCGAAGACCTTTGATTTGTATGATAATGTTATTTCTTTTGTATCCATTTAGTTTTTAGCAGTTGGATTACACTAACATGCTAAGGATATAACTATATGCATGATTATATCAAGAAATATATACCATTTTAAAAGGAATAAATTAAAAGTCTGTTTCCAAAGGGGAATTTCTAATTGGTTCATATTATTATCATTGCATAAAGAAAATATGTATAACTCTAAATGATCTGTTATTATATCCAGATTTTTTTTTTTCAATTTCTGATGTATATATATATGTAAATAATTCCAGGTAACCTGGCTGTTGTCATAGTAGGTACAGATTTAAGAGGTAGATACGGAGGAAGTGTGATGATTGAATGTAATGTGACAGGTCCAGAAGTAAGAAACATACTGTGGAAAAAATACAGAAATAGCAATTTTCTTCAAGACATCACCATAGATGGTACAAAATACACAGGAGGATCAGTGCCATCCCCATCTGTAACAATAAACAGCCTGACTACAAATGATGCAGGACAGTACCAGTGTATAGCCAGTAATCCTGGTGGAACTTATTCCAGTGATAAAAAAGCCACAGTCACCGTAGTGTGTAAGTATTAAGATTATTATTGATATTTTCAGGGCTCAACATTCATGCTTGTCTGCTTGTCAGGTACCAGTGGAAATTTTACCAGTGGAAATTTTTCCACGGACGAGTGATAATTGTATGGCACTTATTCGTTTGGACAATGTTTTTTGTGAAGTATTAATTTTTAAGCTGAAATTGAAAAACCCAAGCTTTTGTGTCAACTTTGTAGCTGAAGTTCAAAATAAAAACGTAATGAGTAAATAGTTAACTAAGATCTGGATCATAATAATTACGTTCTCAGTTGTCAAACTCGATCGAGATCAAAGTTATTACGAAGGCAGTACTTTCGATTTTAGTTGCATGGATCTAACAGATTTGGGTTCTAAGCATAAAGCAGGTAAACTGTTACAAAAGAAGACAAAAGATAACAAAGAATAAAAGAAAGAAGGGAAATAAACATTTGACATATTTTTCTTTTTTCCGTATTTTTTATAAAGCATTTACCACTAAATGTACCTCGGACAGGATGATACAACTGAGTTTCATAAATTGAAGTCTGTGTTAGGATCCTATAAAACAGACCCAGTGAAGATATTACAGACTCTTCTCAAATTCATTACATTTTTAAAATTGACAAATAGTTCTTAAGTACTTTTAAGTACTTTTAAAATTACATATTTAAAGAAATTGAGGTTCTTTTAGTCTAGCCTTAGATACCAATGTTTATTAACATGATATGAAATTAGAAGTGATTTATGGTGTTTTGCAATGACAGGAAAAGCTTTATACACTATGCATCGTAAAATGATCAAGTACCTTATATGTATAGAAATCATGCAATTTCTGTAAAAGCCTAGATGCCTATGATTTTTATTCCTAAAATGAATTTGTTGATCAAATCTTAATTAGAAAATGCATAGTTAGTGTTTTTATTCGCATTTCCTGAAAATTTATTTGAGATTTACTAATTTTCCCTATATAATATGATTAACTTTAAGGATGAAGTTTGAAGAATTATCGAGGGTAAAAACACATTACTTTGAGAATTCAGAGACATTTTTGTGAGCATTTTCAATTAGTCAATGCCTGATTTTCAGAACCTGAGGATCGGACTACCTTAAACAGTCACTTGTCCGAGTGGCCAAGAAAGAAAAAAAGCTAATGTAGAGCCCTGATTTTGTGATGGGTAGATGTAATCATATCACAAGTGAGTTAAGGCTAGGTATAGGCATTTCTATGCAAATAAACGAATTGAAATGCCTAAGGACTATATTCATTATACAGAGAAAGTTAAAACTTATTGTCTAATACATATTTGGTACCCACGACATGATATAGCCAGTACACATTATGACGTCATTGTTCTTTACTACACAAGATTATAAAGGATATCAACAAAAATGCTTCGGCGCAAGGGCATGCTCTATTTTATTTAACTGAAACAAGGTATATTTAGAAGCAAAATATTCCAAGGAGTGCTGATATTGCTGCACAAATATCAACAGTTCAGTTGTTTAATAACTTTTTGTAAAGTTTTAAGTTCAATCAGGTTAAAAATATACAGTTCGCTATAAGTTTCCTCAAATTCCGATCAAATGAGAAAATGCCTAGGATTTGTGCAGAAACTTTATTAATCTATAGAATATTCTTCTTAGCATTATACAATTTTTATGTAAAATTAAATAGAGTAATCCCTTGCGCCGAAGCTGTTTTGTTGATGTGTTTTATTACTTCCATATAAATACTAATTGTTAGGCCATTATTTACACACTGAATTGTCGACGGATTTTTCCGTTATTTCCCGATCATGACAAGGAGCACACGGCGGGTGTGACCGGTCGGTAGGGGATGCTCACTCCTCCATGGCACCTGATCCCACCTCTGATGTTTGGAGGTCCGTGTTTGCTCTGCTCCTATTTTGTATTGTATAATGGACTTTTGAGCTTGAATACTGTTCGTTATCTCCATATATTTCATCCCAGTAAGTTTAGAACAATGACGTCATAATATGACGTCATAATATGTACTGGCTGTAACACATCGTGGGTACTATGTATAAGAAAATAAATCAAAACTTTCTCTGAATAATTGATATACTTCTTATGCATTTTTATTGGCTCATTTGCATAGAAACGCCTTTACCTAGCCTTAACTCACACGCGATAATGGTAATGGTTTTATTAGAATATTGAAGTATGTGTATGTAATATGATACTATGTGTTGATTATACAAAGCAGTGCTATTTATGTACAACTTTCATCCAATATATGATGATACAGACTATATACATGTACATACAGCTGTACCATGAGTCTATCAGAACAAACTGCATAGTCATGGAGAATGCTTATATTTTTATCCAATTATGCCATTTCCTCTGGAATTAAAATAATATAAATTATACAAAATTATTTGCTTAGTTTTTAAGTATCTTTGCTCAAATCAACAAAAAAGAGCTTACGAATGCTATATTAAACCTGGGGTTTCCGATATTTATCCCATATCAAGTTTTGCACTTAATTCATGAAGAACAATTAGTAAAAAAAAATAAGTAGATAACATCTGAAAATTTTTAAAACACAGCTGATCAAAAGAACCATTAAAAAGATATTTCATATAGAGTTAATCAGTTTTATTAGCTCACCTGAGCCGAAAGCTCAAGTGAGCTTTTCTGATCACATTTTGTCTGTAGTCTATCTGTTCATCCATCTCTCTGTAAACTTCTCACATTTTTTAAATTTAAGTCAAAATTTTACATTGGAATATATAGGAAGATTTGCTGATGAAGAACAGCAGGGTCATATTAACTCAGGTGAGCACTTTGATATTTTTCACCAAGTGTGGAAGAAGAAACTTTTTCATAAACATTCCCAACTATACTTAAAAATAGAATACATGTACATTGTGTGTATTTTATTCAGTATTTATTGTTTGGGGCATTTATATCATACTTAGAACATTGCCATTTCAATGTCAAAAAGTTACTTGGAGGATTCCAGTAATTACACAATAGGAATTCAAGCATCAGCAGTTTTCTACCTGAAACCATCTAAAAAGTAGACAGAGGGAAAAAGTTTTTTTTACTTTATATAGGCAGTAAAAACTGAGTTCCTCTGTATCTTTATCATTTCGTTCATTTAATGGCAGTCGTGTAGCTTAACCCCATCCCCATATTATTATTAATACAGTTTCTGCTACTGATTCGCATAGTTTACAACACCCTAAAACATTCATATACAGTATTTAATCAATCTTTTCCCTTTAATCCTATTCACTGAAGCCAAAAATCATTTGTTTTAAATATATATAAATAAATTTTAATATCTTTAAAAAAGCATGATACACTGTAGAATTTTCAGATATCAATATCATACACTATGTATTTTGTTACATTTCAGTATTGTACCCTCATATCTATCTATCTATCTATCTATCTATCTATCTATCTATCTATCTATCTATCTATCTATATATATATATATATATATATATATATATATATATATATATATATATATATATATATATATATATATATATATATATATATATATATATATATATATATATATATATTCACGAACAACGAACGAAATCATTTTAATGTATGTTAAACAGTTTGGATGTTAAACAGTAATTGTTAGTATATTATTAATTTGTCAACATTTGATTTATAGATGGACAATTTAATGAAGATTGTACTGACGCAGAACTATGTGATTCCAACGAACATTTAACATGTTATATTTCCGATAGCAAATGCTTTTGTGATAATGATCATTATCATAACAATCAGATATGTTATCCAAGTGAGTAATAATCCCTTGAATTATGGTATTTTACGTGTGCGTTCAAAAATGTCAACATTTGTTTTTCAAATATGTATGTTTTTACGTAATAAAAATGCGCAAAAATATTTACGTATAGAAATCAAATTGTAAATTTCTTTATTTTCAGGATTTTATCTTACCCCAACAATAATCAAAACAAGCAGTACAACATCAAATTTCTCAGTGTTCTGGAACCATCCCTCCACAGATTACAATCTTTTCAATAGTCATTCAGTGTCATGGAAAGCCAGTGGGAGTTCACTTGCATCAACAGAATCAACAGGCAGAGCAGCAACCAGCTACACTGTCAGCTCAGGAATTGTGTCTGGTCAGCTCTACATTGTGACTGTGTCCTCTGTTGTTGGACTAACAAATCCAATTAGTACCATATATGTGTCATCACAGGAGTGGACAGTAAGACTGTGTATGTTGAATTTTAATACTCAGTGACTACTCAGTTTATGGTTCTCTGTTAATTTATTATGTGCCTTATATCTTCATAGCATTTGTTGTGTAATGTAATTTAGAAAAGAAGGGAGTGCATCAAACTTGTCCAGTTTCTATGATTCTTGTATCAAACATAAATATCAGTATGTGATTCAATCGTGACCAGTATAAAAAAAAAACTCAGTTTGAATCACATACAAAGATCTAGAGGGGTGTGGTGGGGTGGGGATAAAGTTGTCTCAGGTACATTACGCGTGAGGTAATTGATTTGCAAAATGTAAGTCAGGTAAAATGTACTCATACATGTATAATGGGTTTCTAACAATATTCTTCTATTTTAGATCCACATCCACCTGGCTCTATTTTAAATTCAAGTTCATTTGCTTATAATAACCTCATATTAAAGTGGACTCCTCCATCTAATACCATTATTACTAAATATGAAGTGACAATTGATCAAAAATCCTATAATACAACAAACAATAATCCTTTGTTGAGTTTTACTGAAGAATTTACTCCTGGGAAATATCATGATGTCAGTATTGTGACCATCAGTGGTGCATCAATTGAGGAAAAGAGAAGCACAACACACAGAGAGAGGATTAGAATCACACAAACAAGTAAGAATTAGAAATTCATTTACTGTTACCTGAAGATACAATATTTCAGAGTGTATAGAAAATGTCTGTCTGTCCTTCTGCCTGTCAATGCAATAGTGTCTACTAGGCTTTGACTTTGTAAGAGAGAAACATTGAAAGGTAATTCATGGCATAAAGATTGTTATTGTTCATGATAAAGATTGTTATTGTTCCTTTGACACATGTTCATAAATTTGGATGAGGCCAAGATTAACAGAAGAAAAGTTTTAGAATTTGTGTCCATTTATTACTTACTGTTCTGCATAGAGAAGTATTGGAAGCTTTCATTTGTAACAAGGATTGCTCAATGACATGATCTTCGCATGGCTATGTTGTGACCCTCACCGTAATTATAATGCCACGTATCAGTGAAATATGGAAGAATAGAAGTACTGACAAATTCAAAAATACTGAAAAAAGGCATTTTCTCCAATATGAGGAAATAAAGAAAATAATTATAAATTAATTTTCTCAATTTTCTTGTTTTGTTGCCATTTTTCCCAATTGTAAGGCCCAGTCCCAGGCACAATGCAAATATATTGAAAAGACAAAAAAATACTGATAAGAAAACACTGAAAGCATAATTGTATTAGACAATTAGATGCTTATGCTTTAAACAGGTCTAGGGCCTCTGATTTGGAGGATAGCTAAAATTCGATATGGCGATCAAATCCATTCCATTTATGGAAATTCGCTATGCATTGTGGGATAGCTTACTCTTCAGATGTTGGAAGATAACGAAAGTTAATTTTCAAACGTCTTGTGACTACACGTACCTTTAGTGGAAATGTGTATGCATTAAAGTACAATTAAATAAGAATTTTCACATGAAACTACCGATTATATTATGGTGATATGAGATTCTTTTTCAAGATCCTTTACAATTTCTTTTTTCAAAATCGGCACTTTTTGCACTCTCTTTATTAGCTGACATGGGTTTATATTTCTATGAAGCAGATCTAGAATTCATTTAAAAACATCTACACGAGAAGAGGAAAACACTAGCTGTGGCCTTCCATTCGACATTCAGATATATCGACGATGTTTTATCAATTAACAATAGTTATTTTCATTCGTATGTCGACTCGATATATCCCAGTGAACTTGAAATAAAAGACACCACAGAGTGTGCCGCATCTGTTTCATATTTAGATATTTTACTGACTGTAAAGTCCAACAAACAACTAAATTGTATGACAAAGAGACTTAAGATTTTCCATCGTCAACTTTCCTTATTTATGAAATAATATTCCACTATCACCTGCTTATGGTGTGTTACAACGCACTTTGAAAAATTACGAACTTTGAAAAAAAAAATTCAAAGTGCGTTAATTTTGGGACCACGTTAACGCACTTTGGAAAAAAAAATTCCTTTTCAAAGTGCGTTAATATCGATCATATTAACGCACTTTGAAAAAAATGTGCACGGCTTGGTAAATATTCTTGCAAATTTTAGGTATGATAAATAATTATTTGAACCTGGTTGGATAACTTTTCGGTGATGACGTCAGGATCTGAGATATAGACGTTTTAAAGAATTTTAGGAGTTGTCTTGTTTCCAAAGGTTCTCGTAACCGTTATAAAAGGTAAATGGGTATTTTAGAAATAATGGAGGAATGATTATTTAACAGCAAAGTTTCTTTTCCTTTTTTTTTTTTTTTAAATTTTATCCAGTCTCTAACAAGTTTGCTAGATGTATGTATCGATAAGTGACTTAAAGTATCGCATTTTTCTTAGGGAAAGGTAGCAATTATGCGGCTTTCTTCTTTAATATAATAGGGTGCGTATTTTTTTCCAGGAAAGCTTGTCTCAATTTTTTCATCTATTTTACGTTAACTCAAATTTATTGAGAGAAATAATATCAATGTCATAACAGTTATGTAAATACATATATTTGTGTAGGAAAGATAGAGAGTTGGGCCGAGGGACTTTCTACCAGTCTTCTCCTCGTTCTCGATGAGGGTAGATCAATTCATCAGTTTTTCGGAAGAAATATAACAATTTGATGCTGTTTATTACTAAAATCTAAGTCCAGAATTTTTGTTTTATACGTATTTTTTCAAAGTGCGTTAAGTGTCTCCATGGTAAAAAATGTTGATGTACACTCTTAACGCACTTTGAAAAAAAAATTCAAAGTCCGTTGATTTTGTCCCAAATTTAACCCACTTTGAAAAATTTTATCAGTTTGCATTGATTTTGTCCCAGTTTTAACGCACTTTGAGAATTCTTTTCAGAATGCGTAATTTTTTCAAAGTGGGTTGCCACAATGGTGTTTATGTCTCCCAACTACGCTACTCAAGAGCTTGCTCTGAGTACGATTAATTTTAAAGCTAAGCAGGCTACTCACTGAAAAGTTACAGGGATTTCAACAGCCTCGTTTAAAGTCAGCATATCGTAAATTTCATGGTCCTTATGATGACCTTGTTAGCAAATATAACCTATAACTAGAAACTCATTGCGAGCAATGAGAGGTCTTCCGTCCGATTTTGAAAAAAGAAAACTCAAGCTGAAAAATTGATAAAAGAAATTCAGACACTCTGGAGATTTAAACCTGGTCGTCAGCGTGAAAATCCAAGGTGCTAACCATAAACCATTCACTTTTTTGCATCACTTCCTGTCACGGCGACACAAGATTTTGTCACGATTCAAATAAACTGATGACTGACTATCAGTCCTGAAAGTTTTAGACTTTAGTCGTTTACTGTTGCCGAGCAATAGACCGGAAGTTGACGTTTTATTTCCGGTGGAATCTAACATATTTCAAAACAGCGAAAGAGATGCAATAAAGTGATGCAAGTTTTAGATTAAAAAAGAAAGAAGAGAAATAATATGAGCGCATCTAAAAATGAGTGATCTAAAAAATAAAACAGGTTTTGTAATCCTCAGAAATAGTTCTATCATTTAATAGTTGCATATTTAAGATCAGAGGTTACGTCCTATATCAAATATCGAAAAATAGCTTTAAAAATTGGCTGTTTTGTAGAAATTTTCAGGATATGGGGAAAATGATGCATTTCATGACGTCTTAATGCATAGGGTAGCCAGAAAATAACGTCATTTTTGATAGATACGCAGTCATCAAAGGTCTAAATGATATTTAATGCATTGTCAACTAAAACCAAGCAGTTTCAGTTTTTCTGAAATTCACAGGGCCAAAACAGGCCTCAAGTGAATCTTGTTCTTTAATATTGAAACCACTACACTAGCACAATGTACCAGCCATCATCGATGTTTACCTTGCACTCATTCCCTGAAGTAACGAGTGCCAGGCAGGTTATTTTTTTTTTCTTATAGTGTGGAATCATAGGATGAAAACTAGCCAGCTAAATGTTGTGCAAGTACTAGTAGATTTACATCGGATTTGTTTCTTGAGTTTTAACAATAACTAATAGCAGAGAAAATAATCTATCACTGATAAAAACTTAAAAAAACTATTGTGTTTACTTCCTTTATTCTTTATTCATTCAACTTTCTATTCTATGCAATTCCAAATACAGACATGTCCGTGTAATCTTTTTTCTGTACTTCTACACTACTGCATCAGACCATTTGTGAAAGGCGGGTCACGATACATTATTTCGCGCCAAACGTCACGAGTAAATCATCGCACCTTTTCTTTGAAATGTGTCTTCAATTGAATAAGTGCACCTGATAGCTTCAATGAAATTTAAAAAAAAAATATGTTGCTATAGCCTGATTTTCGAGCCTAAGAATGTTTATTTATTACACTGTACATATAACATATCGTATACGGGCAAGTAACATGAAGGCAGCGCTAAGTTTTCTTACACATTTTATATTCCTCTTTACCCCCAAAGTGGATTATTCCAATTAGTAACACATTAATAAAAGACTGGAATGTTTCGCAACAAAACACGTCTCGCCATATGACGCTCAAGGAATCTGGTACCTATTATGTTCAGTAACTTGCATCTATAAAGGAATATTGCCCTACTAAAATCAAAGAGAAATATCATTGAAGTTTATTTTTCTCTCATTTGAAATTACTATATGTTATTCGATCAACATGAGAAAGTAACAAATTCTTCTTTCAAAATACAATTCGGCATCTTTCCAATTTATGATACTATTGCATAGGTATCTAGCTACACATACATTTGTACCAACATGTTTTCCTCATTTTGTCATATCACAATTGCATCTATGCACATTAATTAGTGCAAAATTCAACTGCAAACTCTTTATGAGGGATTAAAAAGACACGCTGATATTGTGGCTTCAAACACCGCTGCTCGACGTCGAACGACATAGCGCCCCCCCCCCCTTTAAAGATAAAATCTTATATTTGAGCCCCAAAAAGTGAGAAAAAATTCGGACATTCTTTGGATTGAATCCGGATCGCCCACATGAATATTCAACATGCTAACCATTACGCTATCAAACATCATCGCTTAAAATTGAAAAATGATATATATTTAATGTATGGGTTAATCAATTTTCAAACAAACTACATATTTAGCATTCTTGTAAGACTCCTTATTTAGCCTATCAACATCATAAAAAAATAGTGAAAAACAAAAAAGTTCAAAAAATTACCCTTTTTAAATCACTTCCTGTGACGACCGGAAGTGACGACGACACACGAAATGTTTCTATCACACATCTACAAACCGAATTCTATCATACCTGAAAGTTTCAGACTCTTACCTTTAACAGTTTCTGAGAACATTCATGGACTAGATTTTTAGTGGAAAAAGTGAAAAATCGTAATAATTCCCGACCGGAAGTAAATTTTTCCAAACTTTTTCAATATTTCAAAATGGCATGAGATAACACATCATTCCTGAAAATTTGGCTGAAAATGAGTGAGTACTTTTTGAGATATTGCGATTTGAAAAGGTCAAAAAAATAAAAATGAAAAATAATAATAATAAAAATAATAACTAGATACTTATTGCCTAGGCAATAACAGGTCTTCCGTTTTCTTGACTTTTTTGAAGAAAAAAAAAAACACAATCATC